AGGGTAAAAAAAAAAGAACATTAATATACAGATGTAATCCTGCGCTTTGGGAGACTGAGATGAGTGGACTGACTGAGTCCGTGGGTTCGAGACCTGCCTGGGCAACTTGGCGAGACCTCATCTCTACAATAAATAAAAAAATCAGCCAGGCATGGTAGCGCATGCCTGTAATTCCGGCTGCTCGGAAGGCTGAGGCAGAAGGATGGCCGGCGCCCAGTGGGTTGAGGCTGCAGTGGCCAGCAGCGGCAACTGCACTCCAGTATGGGTGACAAAGTGAGACTTCAACTCAAAAAAAAAAAAAATACACACACACACACACACACATATACAGATGTGAGCTTGCATATGTATAGGTAATTTCTTTACAGTGATTGTTTCTTGGGAAGGGGCCTACAAACATAGTTTAGAAGGGAAACAGATGTTACACTGTATATCTCTTTGTATTATTTGAATTTTTTATGCCCTTTTTAGTGCTTGTTACCCATTCAATAGGAAAATCTTTATCTTAAATATTAACACAGAAGTGCTTTAACTGCTGTTCTATCTAAATGGGTAGTTTCTAAGGACACTATGAAATTAATTTTCTGAAATGATTTTAGTTTTACTCTTCAATCATAAATCTCGTAATTTTATTGTAAATCTTCTCCCTCCAGAAATGGTAAAAATAAACATGGAGGCCGTGTGCAATCAAGAGAGTGTGACCATGGCAAAGGAACAGAAACATAGGTCAATAAAACAGAGAATCCAAGGGAAAAAAGCCCACAAAAATATGCCAACTGATTGTTTTTTTACAAAGGTGCCAAAAAAATTCCATCGGAGGATGGATACTTTCTTAACAAACGGTACTGGAGGCTGGGCGTGGTGACTCATGCTTACAATCCCAGTAATTTGAGAGGCCAAGGCGGGAAGATAGCTTGGGCCCAGGAGTTTGAAACCAGCCGAGGCAACACAGTGAGACCTCGTGTCTATAAAACGATGAAAATATCAGGCCACTGCCTTCCTAGACTCTGGTGTGGCCACATGCTCTTGGAGCTACAGCTGTGCCCATATTTCCTGGCTTTGGCCCCCTCCCCTACCTTGGGGAGGTGAATCTCCTCTTTCTCTCTCTCTGTCTCTAATTTATTTTCTAAATAAACTATACTTTCTAATCTAAGAAAAAAAATTGAAATACTAGCCGGGTGTGGTGGTACGCGCCTGTAGTCCCAGCTACTCAGGAGTCTGGGGTGGGAGGATCACCCGAGCCCTGGAGGTTGAGGCTGTGGTGAGCTGTGTGTTCTCCAGCCTGAGTGACCAGAGTGAGACTCTGAGTGAAAGAAAAGAAAAGAAAGGAAAGAAAGAGAGAGGGAGAGGAAGAAAGGAAGGAAGGAAGGAAGGAAGGAAGGAAGGAAGGAAGGAAGGAAGGAAGGAAGGAAGGCAGCCAAGACAAAGAAAAGAAAAAGAAAAAATGGTGGTAGCGCAACTAGGCATCCATAGGCCAAAAAAAATAATAATAACCCTTGACCTAAAACTCACACCCTATTCAAAAATTAACTCAAAATGAATCATGAACTTAAACGTAAGAAAACATTCAACATAGTAAAGAATTCAACTCTCCACAAATGTATCCTTTTAATGAATTCCTGTCAAAATCCCAGGAGGGTGTTTGTAGACATGGACAAGTTCATTCTAAAATTCATACAGAAAGACAGAGAATCAAAAGCAGCTAAAAGAGCTAAGTATTTGAAATGAAGTACAACATAGCAAATCTCTTGATAGAAAACTGTTACAAACATTAGCTTGTATGCCTTAAATATATACGAGCTTTTTATTAGCTAGCTATACCTCAATCAAGCTGAGGGGGGAATCTTCTGGAAAAACAGTGAGTAAAATCCACGGGGCAACAGTAAAGGACAAGAGGGACAGGCAAAGGGTAAGACTTTATAGCAAAGCACAATCCGTAATAAAAACCTGATAAATTGGATATCAAAATTAAAAGCTTTCCCTCTGAAAGACCCTGTGAAGAGGATGACGAGACAAGCCACAGACAAGGAGAAAGTATTTTCAAACTACATATCTGACAAAGAGCTTATATTCAGATAATACAAAACAATTCTCAAAAATGAATGGAAAAAGCACAAACAATCCTGTTAGAAAGTGGGCAAAAAACATGAACAACACGAACAGATCTACAAATGGCAAACAAGCACTTAACTTGAAAAGATGCTCAATTTCATTAGCCATTAGGAAAATGTAAATCAAAACCATAATTAGATGATGCTACACACCTATCAGAATGGCTGAAATAAACACGTTGACAAGGATGCCAAGAAACTGGACCACTTTTGCACTGCTGATGGGGACATAAAATGGTACTGTTATTTTAGAAAAGAGAATGGCAAAACTAAACACACTCATCACACAACCCAGCAACTGCACTTTCAGGCACATATCCCAAAGAAACGAAAATGTTACATGTTCAAACAAAAATGTGTATATCAATGGTCATAGCCGTTTTATCAGTTAACAGCCAAAAACTGAAAACGAACCTATTCAACAGCATGTACTGTGACACACCCACAGCGCGGAACACTACTCAGGGACAAAAAGGAACTCCAGATATATGCAGCCATCTGGATGAGGGTATAAGTGGAATCTGCCAAGGGCTAAAGGCTGTATACTGTATGATTCCATTTATAGAATATTCCTGAAATGACAAAATTATGGAGATGGATACCCAGGTCTGAAAGGAAAGCAGGAAGTAGCTGTGGCTGTGAAAGTGCGATCCAAGGATCCTTGGGATGGAATGATCTGTTCTTCCACCGCGGTCATGTCACATGAACCTACACGTGTGATAACACTGCAAAGAACTGAATACACACGTGCGAAACTAGAGAAAGCTGAGCAAGGCTGATGAACTGCATTCATGCATCACAACTTCCTGGTTGTAACACTGTATCCGAGTTATGATGTTACCTCTGGGAGACTCAGGTCAAAAGGTATATGAGATCTTTGAGCACTTTTCCTGTAACTGTGTGTTAATTTACAAGGAACACACACGAAAATTTTCTTAACCTTTAATCTTCAATATGAAAAAAAAACCGTGGACAATACATGGTTAACTATTTCAATGACTTGTCATTACAGATGACCGACTTTCACGCTCCGGGGTGAGGAGTCACATAATGTACCTCCTATCTACAACTCAGAATTCACAGGTTTATCCCCATGTTTCCTCGCTCCCTTCTTTCTTCTCTGTCCCCACCACCTGAACCCTTCATAACAGACTATAAAACTGCAGTATATAGGATGTGCGTGTGTGCGCGCGCGCATGTGTGTGTGTCTCCACGGCAATTTCATGCTCTCTCTAATTATGTAGTTTTATACACACACACTCAGTTATTTACCACATTCATTAATTAGGATTCTGGGCTCTTCACTCCTAATATTAAAATCCATTATGTGGCACATTTTACACTTCCTTTTAAAGATAATTAAAATGTCAGTTATCTGTTGTTTATGAAGATAACTGTTTGCAGTCCCCAATTCCAACCAACTCATGGGTAAGTGGACCTCAAAAAGATTTTTTTTGCCAGGCTCAGTGGCTCAGCCTGTCATCTCAGCACTTTGGGAGGTCAAGGTGAGTGGATTGCCAGAGCCAGCAGGTTAGAGACCTGCCCAGGAAACTTGGTGAGACCTCATCTCTACAATAAATTAAAAAAAATTAGCAGACGAGGTAGTGTGTACCTGTAGTTCTGGCTACTTGGAAGGCTGAGGTGGAAGGACTGTTGGGGTGGCCAAGAGCGTGCCACTGCACTCCAGACTGGGCAACAGAGTGAGGCTCTAACTCAAAAAAAAAAGAAAGAAATTTGGCAACCACTTTGGGTCCCCTATGAGAGCTTTTCTGTCCTCTCAATAAATCCTGCTTTCTAAAAAAAAAAAAAAATTCCATGCTTGCTTTACACTTTGAGTTGATCACTGGTATAACCTATTTAGCAACAGAATACCTTCTGTGCACTAAAACAGAAGATGATAATGACAAATTTTGGAGAATAAACTAGGTACCTTTTCTGGCTACTGAAGTACACTGAATTGAATAAACCACTGTTTCAGGGCATGGGACTGGTATACTGGGCATGGCATATTATACAGACTAAACGGTACAGCATGCCATGTATTAAAAACATCTAATATATTCCAGACACCTAATAATTTATAGTTCTGAGCCTCCTTTGTTCAGAGAACTCTCACAACAGGCATTATTCCTATACTTTTTCCTATGACTGCTTTCTAAACTACTTGCCAAGCTTAAGCAATAGAATCTGACCCAGGGCTTCTATTTTAGATAAACAGATGATTGATAGATGGTAGATAGATTATATAGATGGACAGATAGATAGATAGATAGAAAAATGGATGGATGCTGGATAGGCAGACAGATATATGATAGAGGTGATAGATAGCAAGTGGACTCTAATATGAGTTCCCTGTGTAAAAGTCATGGGCTAAGACTTTTTCTCTCTCCATTCAAGAAAGAAAAGATCTGCTGTATTCTCAGACTAGTTACTCAATATTATACCAGTCACCCTCCTATCAGTTTTCATTTTGGGGATTAGGGGAATACCTTGTCCCAAAAGATGTACTGAATTAATCTTTAACACACAATATGCAAAGGAAATTCATCAGAAAGCATTATTCATGTGGTGTTTCTTAAACAGTGGCCCCAAAGGTCAGTTTTATAGACAGTGGCTATATAGACAATATAGAATATTGTCTCAAAATGACTAAGATCCATGGAATTAAACATTTATCCATTAATATGTGGCTCCTTAATGTTCACAACCTTTTGCATCTTGCTCATAAGACATACAATCTTAAATTTTCGCTAATCTCTTACTCAGAAAAACAATACTCAACATATTTTTCATTTCCAAAGCACATGCCAAACTGTAATAAGCAGTTTTAACAGAGCACCTTAAACACCCAATGAGAAACGAGCCAAGAAGCACAATCGGAAACTTTACCTTAATTCTTCTCTCAGTGTCATCTAGCTTTAACTCTGTCGAAACTAGTTTCTTTGCCAAATCATCTCGCTCAGGCAGGTGTCTTGCTTCACAGATCTTTTTCAGTTTCTGTAAGGAAAATTTTGTCTTAAAGAGTTCACCTTCCGTGTCCTTCACCCTTTTCTCAGTTGCCCGTTCTTTCTCTTGAGATTTTCTTAAGCGTTCTTTGAGCGTTGTAATCTCATTGTTATGACGAAGTATAAGTTGTGAGATCTCATTTTCTGCATCTTCAAACTTACTCAGGGCTTTCTCCTGTCTGTACTGAAGCCTTTTCAAAGACTTATTTTCTTTTAGCAGTTCGGCTAACTTGACCTGGAGTTCAGATACTTCATTCTGCAACTCATTGATTTTTAGCAGTCTTGCAGAAAGAACCCGTTTTGTGACAAAATCAGTTTCTTTCCGAAGTGGCTCTCTATTGAGGCTCTGGGAGCGAAATCCCACTCGGACTCCTTTTCTATTTGGCAGGCCTTTAGGGCTTGGTTTCCTAGAGGCTAAAAAAGAAACAGTAATCACGTAAAGTGAAAGCTGTACCAAATGTAGTGTTATTTATTCATTCTAATTCAAGGGGGACTATATCATTCTTTAGTTGTTTTGTTCCACAAAAGGGGATTTTTAAATACTTAGTTAAATATCAGGTTTTATTAAAAGCTCTAAATATGCTTCTGTTAAGAAAGGGCTGCAATCTTGCAAGAAAGGTCAAGAATATGACAATCCACCAAAAATGACATCCCAGTATTTAATGTGGAATTATTCTACATGCTTTAAAAGAAGTCAGCATCGCTTTAACCATTTTTAACCTTAAAGATAAGACAGCAAGTCAGAATTCAAACATGGGTACCATCAGCATTACCAGGATGCATAATAAACATTGTACAAAATACTGGAATAGTCAAGTCATTTGTGTCACAATATTTGGAATTATCCTTTGAAATGTGAAAACGTATGTTTTCTTTATATTAATTACAACTTTATCTGAAGACAGAATGATGGTATATTCTACAGTAAGAAAATCTGGAACTCAAATTTAGCACTTAGTAAATCCTTGGAAAATTCAGTTAAACCTTTCCAAGTCTATTTTCCCAACCCATAGAATGACATTACCTACACAATCAGGTTGCTGGGAGAATTAAATGAAATATATATACAACACAGAAAGTTCTACATATTCTCTATTAGTAATAAGAATTTCAACCCGGCTGTATGCGGAGGTTCAGCCTGTAATCCCAGTACTTTGGGAGGCTGAGGCAAGAGGATTGCCTGAGCTCAGAGGTTCAAGACCAGCCTGTGCAACTTGTGAGATCTCGTCTCTACAATAAATCAAAAAATAAGCTGGGTGTGGTAGTGCATGCCTGTAGCTCCAGCTACTTAGAAGGCTGAGGCAGAAGGATCACCTGAACCCAGCAGATCGAGGCTGCGGTGGCCATGAGAGTGCCAATGCACTCCAGCCTGGGAGACAGAGTGAGTCTCCAAAAAAGAACTCCATCCCATTTATCGGTGATTGAAAAATGAAAAACAGCAGTACAAACATGTTTCTAAATGTTTTCTCAGGGGATTTATTTTGTGTGATGCTCAAATCTAAAACTCCTAACATAATTTGAGAAACTAAAAACAAAGAATCATAACCTAAAAAATTTAAGTATATGAAATCTTTAGAGAGTACATATTAAACATATGGACTTGGCAGCAACTTGGATGAATTTAGAGTCTATCACACTCAGTGACCTATCACAGAAACAAAGAACAGAATTCCACATGTTCTCACTCATAAGCAGACCTTGAACACTTATCATAATACTATGAGAAAGGGATTGGCAATAGTGGGAAACTGCCAGGGTGGGATTGGCAGTTGAGGGAAACTGCCAGGGGAAGGAAGGGCACACCTCATCAACAAGGGTACCTGTATGATGAACATTTATATACCTAACCTGAATTGTACCCCACATCTTTTTTTTTTAACTGATTTAAAAAACTGATTTAATGAGCCTAATCCCACATCTTTAAAATAAAAAAAGAGTACATATTTAATCACACTTCTAAAAATGTGAAATAATGTTTTTATTTTTACTAAAAGTTCACTAAACTTAAACCTCAAGGTACAGAGCACCCTTTAAAAGAGAGGAAAAAAAAAAACTTCCAGAAGAAAGTCTGCCTTTCAGAAGTTAAGAAAATGATCTTTAGCCAAATGCAGTAGCTCATACGTGTAATTCCAACACTTTGAGAAGCTGAGGCAAGAGGATCACTTGAGCCCAGGAATATGAGACCAGCCTAGACAACACAGCAAGACCTCATCTCTACAAAGAAATTTTTAAAACTTAGCCAGGTGTGGCTACGCACACCTGCAGTCCCAGCTACTCAGGAGGTTAAGGCAGGAGGAGGATCACCTGAACCCAGGAGGTTGAAGCTGCAGTAAGCCATGATTGTGCCACCGCATTCCAGTCAGGGCAAGAGTGAGAGCACACCTCAAAAAAAAAGAAGAAGAAGAAAATGATCTTTAAAAGAGACTTCTGAAAGTCTGCCTTTCAAAGTTAAGAAAATGATCTTTAACCTCCATGGCAACTACATTTTTTCAAGGACAAAATGCATTCCAGAGTGAAAAAAAAAGAAGAAGAAGAAAAACTAGAAGATCCAACCTTTCCAGACACAGATATCTGATTACATTATATAAACAAGTAACTTTTACAATTTAGCATTACAAAATGTCTTAAAAAGATAGAGGATAGTATAGACGCTGTTTTGAATGTGCATGGATTGAGAATTCCAGCTCTATAAATGTATGAATACACAAAAGGAACCACTAATAAAATAAAATTAGGGAATACATAATTGCAACTTTGAAACTATGCTATCCAAGATGGTAGCCATTAGCCACATATAGTTACTGAGAAATCTGAAATCTGGGTAGTCCAAAGTGAGATATGCTGTAACTGTGAAATACACACATAGTTAAAAAAAAAAGAGGAATGCAAAATATTTCACAAAATGTGTTTTATACTGACTGTATGTAGAAATGATGATTTTTCTTTTGTTTTGTTTTTTTGGAGTTGGAGTCTCACTCTGTCACCGACTGGAGTGCAGTGCCGCTCCTGGCCACCGCAGCCTCGACCTGCTGGGCTCCGGCGATCCTTCCGCCTCAGCCTTCCAAGTAGCCAGAATTACAGGCGCGTGCTACCACGCCTGGCTGATTTTAGATTTATTGTAGAGATGAGGTCTCGCCAAGTTGCCCGGGTGGGTCTCAAACCTGCGGGCTCAGACAATTTACTCACTTCAGCCTCCCAAAGCGCGGGATTACAGACTGAGCCACCGAGCCCGGGCACTACAGCCTTGACATGCTGGGCTCAGGCGATCCTTCCACGTCAGCCTTCCAAGTAGCTGGAACTACAGACGCCCAGCTAGTTTTCGTGATTGAATGTAGAGATGAGGTATCACTAAGTTGCCCAGGATTGTCTTGAACCCCCGGGCTCAGGTAATCCTCTCGCCTTGGTCTCCCAAAATGCTGGGATTGCAGGTTAAGCCACCGTGCCCGGCCTGATAATGTTTTTAATATGATAGGTTAAATAAAAATATATTATTGAAATTAATTTCGTTGTATTTTCTTTTTTTAATATGGATACTAGAAAATATAAAACTACATGTGTGGCTTGCATTATATTTTCATTGAATAACATCACTTTAAAAATATAATTTCGGCCAGATGCAGTGGCTCACATCTATAATTCCAGCACTTGGGGAGGCCAAGGGGAGAGAATTGCTTGATCCTAGGAGTTCAAAATCGACCTAAGAAATATAGCAAGACTTCATTTCTACAAAAAAAAGTTTTTAAAAATTGTGGTGTATGCCTGCAGTCCCAGCTACTTGGAAAGCTGAAGTGGAAGGAGTGTCTGTCTGAGCCCAAGAGGTCGAGGCTGCGGTGAGCCATGAGAATGCCGCTGCACTCCAGTCTGGGTGATAGAGTGAGACCCCACCTCAAAAAAAAAAGAATGTAATTTTTTTGGCTAGGCAGGGTAACTCACACCTATAATCCCAGCAGTTTGAGAGGCCAAGGCAGGAAGGAGGATCATTTGAGGCTAGGAGTTCAAGACAAGCCTGGGCAATATAGCAAGACCCATCTTCACACACACACACACACACACACACACACACACACACACACACACAAACACACACACAAAATCAGCTGGGCATGGTGGCATACACCTGTAGTACCAGCTACTCAGAAGGTTAAGGCAAGAGGCTCGCTTGACCCCAAGAGTTCTGAGTAGCTGGTACTACAAAGTGAGACTCTGTCTCAAAAAGAAAAAAAAAGCAAGAATTTAAAATTTTAAGTATCCAACATTTCTATTTTCTTTCTTTCCCACAAGAAGTTAAGGGACTTTTGATATTATATGCTATTATGGAATATGTACTTGGTTCTAAGAATGACAGAAACTTTATATATGAAAATAATTATACATAAACATGATGTTAATTGTTCCAAACCTGATTTTTATGCACAAAACTACGTTACTTGGAAAACAAAATTTCATACAAAAAGCAACTTGTTTTATTTGAAAAGTTAAAGCCTAATAATATAAGAATCAGGCCAAAAATTTTTAGTCAGAAACAAAAGAGTTTCCACAACCAACTTTTTGACACCCTAAAACTCTGAACATTTTCATCTACATCTTATGAGCATGACTACAAATTAACCTGAACTTACAACATTAACCTGAACTCACAAATATTCCCATCTTCCTCTACCTTTCTTATTTCCATTTTCAAAGCTATCAAGATGAAACATGGTGCTTCATAAAAGGAGAGAGAAGAAGAAAGATGACTGGCCGATGTCCATGTCATTCTTCATCTCCCCTCGTTAAGTCGCCACCACAAAGTTGGTGGGAAAACATTGCTTTTTCTTCCTTCAAGTGTTTAAAATAAAATACGACTCATTTTTTAAATACAGTAAAAATAAACTATGCACCTACCAAAAAAATCAAAATATGCTTATACTACTGAGAAAACAATGGAATAAATATGTAATATACAAACATGTACAACCAAAATTTACTAAGTTTCATCATTATAAATTCTGATGGAGCACAAATTTTATTTTTAAAAATAATAAAGAATGCTGAAAACAAACAAGGAGGTAGAAAGAATATGCTATCAAACATGCAAATCCACAAATTCAAGGGTTTAAGATGCTATTTTAATTATATTTGTTTTGTCCTTAGTTTAGTCTACCCTGATTGCAATTTAAATCAAGAGAAATTAACTTAGTATTTAAGAATATGTAGTAGTTTGATCCCATTACTTGGTCAAAAGCAAACAAATTACCAGAGATTTTAATTCAAAATACAGTGCAAAGCAGAAAACATTACAAGTCAGACTGAAGACAGTAACTGAAATTTCCTGGGTCATGCTGGAACTGTTTTTGAGTTGGAGTCTCACTCCATCGCCCAGACTGGTGTGCAGCGGCACACTCCCGGCCACCCCAGTGTCAACCTGCTGGGCTCAGGCCACCCTTCTGCCTCAGCCTCCCAAGCAGCCCAAACTACAGGTGCACGCTACCACCCCCAGCTAATTTTTTGATTTACTGTAGAGAAGAGGTCTTGCCAAGTTGACCAGGCTATTCTCAAACCTGTGGGCTCAGGCAATCCCCTCACCTCAGTCTCCCAAAATGCTGGGATGACAGGCTTGAGACACCACGCCCAACCTGGAACTGTTTTCCACAGCTTTTCTCAAGTATCTTCTCAAATAAGTTAGACTTACATAAAGTTCTGACTTCTCAATTGGGTACCCTACTAAACTGCTTCTGGGGAAGGAAGGAAAAATTAGTCTTCCTTACCAATAATACCCTAAGTATTTCTTGGTAATAATGGGTATTTTCTAAGGCTCAACCCTAAGATCTGTTTGTTCTTAATTATTTAGCAAAGGTATTATCAGATCATGATCACAACTACAAAATTATAACAAGCACCCTTCACTTAGATTTAGAGAAAAGGACAAAATAAATAGGCACTTGATTGTTAGAAATTTGGACATCCCTAAGGAGCCAGATTAGGGGGTCGATGAAAGGGTTCCTTTCAAAAGGAATAAATATTCACCATAGCTTTTAATGAGTGAATTTTATTTTTCAAAGTAGAAATTTATAAAGGCAAATTTAATTAGGCCTTTGCTTAAATCCTTTCCAGGGCTAACTATTCCCCACACAGATAGTCATTATATTAGCACAGGATGTGACATGTTTCATGCATCACCCATTTTCCTTCTCAGCTCCTGGTTTTACCACTCCTGCCTTGCAAAGTAAACTCTCACCATTCTAAACTACTGCTGTTATAACTGTGCTGCATTTATTAATGCGTACTGTAATTACCTTTTTTGCCTTAGCTCATTTTTCTATGCTATACTTGTAGACCTTGCATTTTTTTTGTTACTGAGTACAGTGAAATGTTCTTGACCAGAGATTTATTCAGATGGAGATGAGATTTAGAAGCCTGCATAGTTGGCCAGGCGTGGTGGCCATGCCTGCAATCCAGTAAACTTTGGAAGGCCCAGGTAGGATAATCACTCAAGGCCAGGAGTTCAAGACCAACCTGGGCAACATAGTGAGACCCAGTCTCTACAAGAAATCAAAAACTAGCCAGGTGTGGTGGCACACACCTGTAATCCCACTACTAAGAAGGTTGAGGAGAGAGAATTGCCTGAGCCCAGGAGACTGAGGTTGTGGTGAGCCATGATCACGCCACTGTACTTCAGTCTGGGTGACAGGGTCAGATCCAATTAAAAAAATAAATTAAATTAGAAAAAAATTAAGGAGCTGGGTAGGGTGGCTCGCATCTGTAATCCAAACTACTTGGGAGGCTGAGGTGGAAGGACTGCTTAAGCCAATTGAGACCAGCCTGAGCAATGTAGCGAGACCCACTCTCAAAAGAACAAAATAAAAAATAAAGATACAAAAAAGTCCAAATATTTTGGGTTTCTGTTTTGCCTTTACAATACCTCAGGGACTCCCAGACATGCATTTATTTAGAAAGAAAAACAAAATGAGAAGCCTGAACTGTGTTTCTTTGGTGTATGAGTATTGTACGACTTTGACTATGACAAACAGTAATACATAGTACTATAAGCAACATTTATATAAATGTATTAACGTATAACCTGTCCAGAATGTAAATTAGCACACTTCCAAGCATATAACAACACACACGCTAACAGAAAAATTTCCTCAGGCTCTCAAAATGAGTCCTTCTAGAACCACCAGACTTTTTTAAGGCAGACTTACCACAGCGATGCACCTGGCTATCTGACGTTTGTCTCTTGGCACTTTCCCCCCTCATGCTTGATGGTGAAGTGAGATTGACCGGTGACGATCGGCCAGAAGACTGTGGGGTAGTTCCAGAATCAGAAGAATGAAAAGAATAATCGTGTTGGCCTGCCTTTCTTTCTTGACCCGTATCTGGACTTCTTTCTCTTTCCCCCATTGTTTTGAAACTGGTCTCTCTTCACGTAATCTCACAGATTCTTTTCTCCAGCAGACTCCATAAAAATGCTGAAGAACATGTTCACAGTCTTCAGATCCTGGTAATATTCATTTTTGTGCAGTCTATTTTCTCCACGATATATCCACAGACCACAATTCACATCAGCAGCCAAAAAATACTGCTGCTCTGCCCTACAATTAAGGAAGAAAAAGGAAGACTCATCATACGATCATGAAATAGATTTCTAGAGTTAATTACAAAGAAAGATGCTAAAAGCAAAATAATATACCGCCTCCCATTTTTTAAAAGGCTATAATTTATCTATATTTTCACACATAAGTTAATTATGCCATTTGGAGAAAAGACAGACTCTATCATAGCCTAGATAGAGAACATGTGAAGGACCTGAAACATAATTACTTCTGAAAAAATGTTAACTGAATTTGACCCCCTTGAATCTTAAGAGTTATAATAAGCACAAATACCGAAGTTAACAGGACAATAATGATCAAATTACCAGGTTTTTTCTTTCTTTTTTTTTGGCAGGGGAAAGAATAGTGGTAGTGCTAATGAGATGAGAACCAAGAAGAATATCTAAGACTGACCATATAAAAGTGTCTATTTTAAAGATATTTTTGAAATACAATTAAATTAAAAGAAAAATACATTTGATAAAAAAATTTGCAAAATGGCCATCATCTTTAATGTATAAATAAATATATCATATTATCCCTTAAAAAAACAAGAGGCCAGGCGCCATGGCTTGTGCCTATAATTCTAGAGCTTTGGGAGGCCGAGCCAGGAGGATCCACTGAGCCTAGGAACTCAGCATGGGCAAAATAACAAAGACCCTGTCTCCATAAGAAATATAAAACATAGCCAGGCATGGTGGTGCACACCTATTGCCCCAGCTACTTGGGAGGCTGAAGTGGGAGGATAGCTTGACCCCAGGATAGCTTGAGGTTGCAAGGTATGATCGCACCACTACACTCCAGCCTCTTACAAAAAGAAAGAAAAATATTAGATTAAAAAAATTATTTTATTTTTTTTAAGCAGGATTTATTGAGAGGACAGAAAAGCTCCCACAGTGGGAGGGGACGCGAGGGGGTTGCCCTAGATTAAAAATTAAATGGCCAAAATAATCAATACAAATGATAGGCACATAAAAATATTCAACCGCAGATACCATTTTTAAAGCTATCACATTACCAAAGGTTTTTCAAAACAGTAACATTCAATACTTCCGGAGCTGCTATCACGAAAAGATCCATAGAATTTTGGGGAAAAAAGTTGCCAAAATGCGTTAAGACTTTAATTATGGTTGGGCTCAGTGACTCAGTCTATAATCCCAGCACTTTGGGAAGCTGAGACGAGTGGACTGCCTAAGTCCACAGGTTCAAGACCCACCTGGGCATCTTGGCGAGACCTCGTCTCGAAAATAAATCAAAAACCAACCGTGCGTGGTGGCACGCGCCTGTAGTTCCAGTTACTTGAAAAGTTGAGGCAGAGGGATCGCTGGAGCCCAGCAGGTCGAGGTGTGGTGGCCGGGAGCGTGCCACTGCCCTCCAGCCTGGGCGACAGAGTGAGACTCCAACTCAAAAAAATTTTTAAAAAGAATTATATCAGCAAAGGATTAAAGCACACTAAATATGTTTAAATCTGTGATTTCACGTGATATATTTTTTTAAAAAAATAGCCAGGCTCGGTGGTTCAGCCTGTAATCCCAGAGCTTTGGGAGGTCGAGGTGAGTGGACTGCTTGAGCCCGCGGGTCCGAGACTCACCTGGGCAACTTGGCGAGACCTCGTCTCTACAATAAATTTTCTTAAAAACTTAGCTGGGCGTGGTGGCACGTGCCTGTAGTTGCAGCTACTTGGGAGGCTGAGGTGGCAGGATCGCCGGAGCCCAGCAGGTGGAGGCTGCGGTTGTTGGGAGCGTGCCACTACACTCCAGTCTGGGTGACGGAGTGAGACTCAAAAAAAACAAAATTATTCACCTTTGGAATAATTCCCTACCTTTGCTAGGGACCCAACTCATTAATTTGAAAATTGATGCATAAAGAGAAAAAATATCTACCATGCATCTGCCAATGCTATGAAAAACTAAATCTCAAAATAACAAAATAGTAGATGAGGGGAAGTTTTTAATATAATTATTCTAGTTAATAAGGGAAAAAGGAAACATTAAAATGACAGCAGTAGAATACTGCCATTTTGTAACCACTAATGAAATAATGAAACTGTATCATGATATAATGCTCACTAATGGCCCTAACACTACCAAAGAGAAACAACCAGACATTATATGCCTCATGATAGGACACAATACCTCTGAAGTAATCTGCCCTTCCCCAAAAAACTAAAAGTCTGGATCTGATCAAGCTTCTAGATGAAAATGCCACAGAAAATGCCTGTGACAGCTGTACAAGGAAAGTCATCAAAATCTAGACTGTGGCAAATTCTACAGGAAAAACTCGTTTATTTAATGAACAAATTGCAAGCAGAATAAGGAGAGAGGAAGAAGGTATCTATAGATTAAGAAAGTATTCAGACACAAATACCAGTTGCAATCTATGGAATTTATTTCAATCTTAATTTATATACAATAGAATTTCTTTTTTTTTTTTTTTTTTTTGAGTTGGAGTCTCACACTGTAGTCCAGACTGGAGTGTAGTGGCCGCTCCTGGCCACAGCAGCCTCGCCCTGCTGGGTTCCGGCAATCCTTCTACCTCAGCCTTCCAAGTAGCTGGAACTACAGGGGTACGCTACCATGCCCGGCTAGTTTTTGATTTATTGTAGAGATGAGGTCTTGCCAAGTTGCCCAGGCGGGTCTCGAACCCGCGGGCTCAGGTAGTTCACTCACCTCAGCCTCCAAAGGCACGGGATTACAGGCTGAGCCACCGAGCCCGGCTTACAATACAATTTCAATACAATGTATTGTATTTTAAAAATTGTAAGATAATCAAGAAAATTTAAACACTGATTGGATATTTAATATTAGGGAGTTACTATTGTCAGAGGTGAGATAATAATATTGCAGTTATTTTTTAAAAGATTTTACAAATACATGTTGAAATATTTATAGACAAAATGAAATGTCTGGGTTGGCTTCAAAACAACTCAGGGGAAGTGGGTAGTGGTAGAGATGATATAAGACTAACCATGAGTTGATAGTTGTGTAAACTGGGTGATAGAGACTTATGGCTTCATTATTCTAAAATCTCTACTTCTGCACGTTTGAAATCTTCCCTAGTAAAAAAGTATTTCTTAAAAAAACAAAAAAATGAACTTAGAACTTTAATTTTACTGCTCGTAGGTTAGTGGCTAGCAATCTCAGTCTCTGTTAAACTACTGTAACTAAAATCAGCAATTCCAATGACAAGTACTAATGTTAAAAAAATATATGTATGTGTGTGTCTGTAAATTAGCCTGAATCTTTCACCTTACAATCATGAAAAAATATTTGCACATGAAAAAAGGTGCCTAGGCCAGTTGCAGTGGCTCACACCTATAATCCTAGCACTTTGGAAGGCCAAAGTGGAAGGATGACTTGAGGCTAGAAATTCAAAACAAACGTTTTTTTAGTTAGACAGACATGATGACGCTCCCTGCAGTCCCAACTACTTGGAAAACTGAGGCAGGAGGACCACTTGAGTCTACAAGTTCGAGGCTGCAGTGAGCTATGACCATGCCACTGCACTCTAGCCTGGGAGACAGAGGGAGACCCTGTCCCCACCTCCCAAAAAAATTGTGCTCATGCCTGTAATCCTAGCACTTTAAGAGGCCGAGGTAAGAGGACTACTTGAGCCCAGGAGTTGAAGACCAGCCTGAGCAACACAGCAAGACCTCATCTCTACAAAAAGCAAAAAATAAAACAGGCATAGTGGAGCACACCTTTAGTCCCAGTTTCTCGGGAAGCTGAGGCAGAAGGATCGCCTGATCCCAGGAGGTTGAAGCTGCAGTGAGCTGTCATCATGCCATCGCACTCCAGCCTGGGTGACAGAGTGAACTGAGGAGGGAAGGCAGAGCCGGGAAGAAGACAAAAAGGGTATGAGCAAGCAAGTGGCTCCACCACTCATCGGCTATGTAAATCTGCAGTTTCTGAACACCTAATCTAAATCTGATGTTTCTATTTGTGAAATGGGAATATTAACAGTAACCACCTTAAATAATTGTTGTGAGGATTAAATGAGATAATTCAATATCTATCACCCAACAAGCATCTGGCTCTTACATTAGCAATTCAAACACACGAGATGCTCAGTAAATCATGATCATGTTCCCTGTCAAAGACTTTCAGTTTAAATTCTAATAACATAACTAAAAGTTGATTACATGGCAAAGATGAAGATTTCTGTTTACATTTGCATAGCAGAAGTCGCTTCTCATGACCCATCCTGTCTAAATCAGCAGCATCAACCACCTTTTCATGGCAAAGGGGAAGAACACACCAAACAGCACTCCTACCTCTCCTCCCAAATACAGTCAAGCAGTTGCAAATTAAACAGATAAAAGGTGATATCCACTACCTCATGATCCAAGTCCTGTTCCCTGGAACTACCATTTTAGTGGCTCACACACTTATGCTTACACTATTTCTTGAATTGACAATGATAGACTACACAAAATGATTTAACTCACCCTTCATTTTAGATGATTGTCACATGCAACTGCCTGCTAGTTATGCGAGTTTTTTCCTAGAATTGCTAAGTGTCTTTTTTTCCCCCCAGAGGAAAAAACATGCTTATCACTAATACCTACCAGCATCTTAATGATCAATAGCCCGAAATCCCTTCCATTCTTCCTCTTGAAGACACTTTGCTCAAATGGCCTATTCTAATTTAAACCAATTACTTTCTACAACTGTTGCACTGCTGTCATTCTGGAGTTACTTAACAGAATTGCTGTGTTAGTGTACTACTTCTAGCCCATGTCATCATCTTTCTTAGTTTTCATTATTTTGCTGGTCCACATGCTTAAGTAAATTTTTCAAACAGGGCTTA